CACAAATGGGCCGGCTCGACCGGAGTGATACCACGGCCCCACAGAAAACCGACGTGAAGCAACGCTTGCGTTGTGTTTCGTCGAGTGAGTGAGGTTACCGGAGGCCCAATTACCCATCTCCCCAATCCCTGAATTCCCAACGATCCTCAAACTCCTAATCCCCAAAAAGCCGGTGACGCACTTGTAACGCCTCTGGTGTTCCTGGTGTCAGTGGGCGATGCCGATTGCTTACCACCAGGTGATCCGTCTCCTCGTTTAACGGCTTATGCCATAAAAAAAAGGTTAGACTACAGCCATAGGGTAATCCCAAGGACGTCTATGATAAACATGGGTTTATAACAACGCTTAACAGACAAACAATTACTGCCGGTTTAGTACATCATAAAGACCAGACCAGGCTATCATAACATAACATAACAACACGCCTTTTATCACGCAGAGGTGCACATTATACCACTGTATAATGTCACACCCACTTTTCACTATCTATGTTGAGTCTCATGTTATAGGGGGTGACCCTATTGCCATATACCATATACCGCACAACTCCAACTTAATTTTTTATTTTAATAATATAAGACTTCGTGCTACTACTGAGAATTTTTAAAAGTCCCAGTAATACTTTGCCTGACCCAGGAATCGAACCCGAGACCTCTTGCCCGGCAGTCGCACTTGCGACTACACAATAGGGGTATTACATGGGATTCCTAACATAAATAGTGAAAAGTGGGAGTTACACTTAAAAGTAAAATTAAATGCCGTTATGTGCACCTCTGCTTACCCCTTCGGGGATAAAAAGCGTGCTGTTATGTTATGTTATTACATGTACTCAATCCATACTACACAGGTTAGCAGCATTGCTGGAAATGTAAAAATACACTGCTGCATATTACAACAAATTCTTTAACAGCCTATTGGTTATCCTTAGAATTTCTTATTCTTGGAATTTTGAACAGACTTAATAGCTCATCGTTATCATAATCATTATCCTTGTCCATCAACTTGTATCCCGCCATGTTTTTTCCATCGACCACAAGCACAAGGCAACAGGTCGAGCTACACAAACCATTTTATCTTGATCTCGATTTGTATAATCTTTCTACACGTTCAAAGGGCTGACCTTTGAACGTGGACGTTATATTGGACTTATATTTTTTTTAAGGGGAGAAAATCATCGAATGACTGAGGCGGGAGGAAGTTTTTTTTATGGCATAAGCCGGTTAACGAGCAGACGGATCACCTGGTAAGCAATCGGCGTCGCCCATGGACACCTGGAACACCAGAGGCGTTAAAAGTGCGTGACCGGCCTTTTGGGGATTAGGAGTTTGAGGATCGTTGGGGATTCAGGGATTGGGGAGATTGGGGAAGGCGTAATTGGGCCTCCAGTAACCTCACTCATACGACGAAACACAACGCAAGCGTTGCTTCACGTCAGTTTTCTGTGAGGCCGTTGTATCACTTTGGTCGAGGCGGCCCATTCGTGCCGAAACATGGCTCTCCCACACTTATGTGTCAGACTCTTACTGACTAAAAACCACCCCGTTACTTCTCCGTGGCTCCGAATTAGAGTTGTATAGCTTGACATGTAGCTATACAATAATATGGTCACTGATTTTAGCGAATGCCTAAAAATAATCATTGACGTGGAATGTTGTCCGGCGACCTCCAACGTTCGTTCGTACTTGATAACCAACGAAACAAGTTTTCTTGTAATCTTCTCGACTTCAAAATATCCTTTTTGAGGTCCCTTTTAAGTATATTTTATCGTCTTGTATTTTATGTGGTGTAAGTGTGTTTTATATTCAGACTAGCTTTTAACTGCGGCTTCGCTCGCGTCACAAAAGGATAAAAAGTAGGCTGTGTAGCATATGCAGCGCCATCTATACCAATACTTTTGATGTCCCTCGGAAATATAATAATTTTCCGGGATAGAAAGTACCCTATTATTTAATCCAGACTTCTAAGTTTACGTCTAGAAAAATTCAAAGCAATCGGTTTAGTAGTTACGGCGTGAAAGCGGAACAAACAAATAAACAAACAAACTCACTTTCAAATTTATAATATTAGTAAGGAAAGGATATGATCACGGTTTTGCTGGTATTCAATGTCCTTTCATTCGGTCTACTTTAGGTAGTGTTAACCTGATGTGTGAAAAATTGAGGTGGAGATTAGCAATGCAAGACCTGAATCCGTGGAGAAATATGAATTATTAATAAAAAAAAGGCAAGATTATTTTGAAATATATTTTATGCAAGAATTTAAAAAGTTGCTATATTTTATTTAGTGTCTGCCTCACTGTCTGATTGCCTCATTGGCCGAGTGGTTGCAAGTGCGACTGCCGGGCAAGGGGTCTCGGGTTCGATTCCCGGGTCGGACAAAGTATTACTGGGTTTTTAAAGGTCTCAGTAGTAGCACGGAGTCTGGAATTGTGCCCGGTATATGGCAATAGGCTCACCCCCTATTACATGAGACTCATAACATAAAATTGTAAAAAGTGGGTACCTATTACATTGTACAGAGGCATGATGTACACCTCTGCCTACCCCTTCGGGTATATATTATATTCATTCGAATGAATATAACATACCCTTATGTTATATTCATTTATACTGACTGAATGAATATAACATAGCCTTATGTTATATTCATTCAGTCTAATCAATAATCATTTTAAATCATACGATCACTAGAGGTACAGGAAGTCTGCAAACTGCATACCATTCTTGATATCGGAAAGTAAGGTATTCTAAAATATTCCAAAGTGTGCAAAATTAATGTATTTTACTAATTCAACCAAAAAGTAAAAGTCGATCGACTTTTATTTCGATTTGAATTTTAATACACAACGCACAGCTTTGAATTATTATCTTAGTCGTCTGCGAAATTATTAAGACGTGACGAAGAAATAGCTACATATAATAGACAAACTATATCATGTCGCTAGCTTCTAAAAATAAATTTTTAATACCACTAACAAAATAAAAAAGAATATTTAAAAATATAAAAATAGGAGCCGACCAGTAGCGGGAGCATGGTTCAAGCTACCGGTGGTTAGTGCTCCAGAGACCGAAACCTCCTCACGATACGTGCCGTTTCTAGGAGAACTACCTTCTGTATCAGGCCCTTGATCTATCCACCTAACGCCAGCCTTCTAAGATGAATGTCGAGGCTTTGAGGGTCTAAGCCATTGGCCGATACTTAGTATTAGTTATAATTACGGTCTATGATTTTTCAATGAATGAATGTTATACAAATGTGAAGAAATCTAAAAAGTTCTCCCATCACAATCCTAAGCAGACGAACTTCAAATTACGTCAAACGTCAGACCTCAAACCAGTCGATTTGTTTAACTGTACTGCGCATGCGTACAAGTTAGAAGCTTCACCAATAACTGGTCATGAATGACATCTACAACATGTTTGACCTTTTTCTTGTTTTAAGATAACATGATGACTGTATATTGTGTACGAAGAGGTTAGCAGATATGAGAACATAGCGTATTTTAATCACTTTTGTTTTAAATAACAAGACAAAATAAGGGGATACTTGCCGTGTTTCTTTAAATGTTTAGTCAAAAATATGCCCCTTTTCTCAACACTACCGTCAATTGTAGAAATTATAAAACAACAAATTGTATGTACCTAAGCCACAATCGGTGTTTTAAAAGTTAAACGCTATCAAACTTTGAGGTTTGGTGAGTTTAGATTTAAACTGTAAAACACCGCGAGGACACCGGTCACTGCAACCTATTGTTCTTTAATTGTGTATATAATGACGGTACTCAATGAGGTAAGGCCACACCTGCGTAATATTTCAATAAATGAATTAGTTTTATAAAGAGGCCGGCAACGGATTTGTGACTCCTCTGGTGTTGACCACGGCCTCATAGAAAACCGACGTGAAACAACGCTTGCGTTATGTTTCGTCGTGTGAGTGAGTTTACCGGAGGCCTAATTACCTCCCCTCACCAGTCTCCTTAATCCTCCAATCCCTTACAAACCTCAAATTCCCAATTCCTAAAAGCCAGTAACGCACTTGTAACTCCTCTGGTGTTTCAGATGTCCATGGGCGGCGCTGATCGCTTAACATCAGGTGATCCGTCTGCTCGTTAACCACCTATTCCATAAAAAAGCCAAATTAAGTATAAGGTAATAAAAACACAAGAAATGAAGTTTATTTTTATTTTCTAATACTCTTTGACATAGATTATCACAACAGTAGAAATAATATAACATATTACAACACCATTATTTATTTACGAAATAGAATTCTTTGCATTAAACATACAATAAATTAAATATTAAAGCTTTAACTAAATAAAATACACATTTTGGTATAACTATGTATCGTGATATATATTAAATTAATTCTATTTAGGTATGTTATTTACTTAAGTAACCATTCGAGGGCGCTCGACTAGTTTCGAGCTGCAAACGGGGTTTATAATAAAGAGTAGCATGCACGCTAACCGACGTCACACAGCGAGCAGGTTGGTAACCTTGAATAGTTACGTGTGCAAACGTTATATTTATTCATTTTAATGTAGAATGACTAGAATACAATAAAAATTGAATTAACGACAAAACAAAGCAACATTAGTAAATAGTGTAGAATATAATATTTTCTATCATTAATTAAATAGTATATAGTATAGTATACTTTAGGCCTTTAGCTTAAGGCTCAAAATAGAAGAATATTTTATAAAGATTCATAACCTTCTCTCGGTACGTAGATATAGAAAACATGTATAGAAAAATAAATTACAATTATTAATAATTTGAAACTATGCAAAAAAAAATATTTAACAAATTAAACTAAGATTGACTAAGGTAGATGCAATTATTAAACAATAAATAAATAGATTTTATTATAGATATCTTTTTTCTATTACAATGGAAATCACAGAAGAAGAAACTTTATATTAGACGCTATAAAGTCGAAATCACAACAACTACTAACCACATTTGTTATGTTCTAACATAAATCCGAACTATTATGTCTACGATACGCAAATTGCTAAGACAGTTAATTCAGGCCCTAATGTTTATTTAAATTCATCGTTATGAGTAAGTATTTGAGGTCGAATTTTGAATGATTTAGATCTTCTTTCTTGTCAGGAACCAAGTCTGCATTGGCTCAGCTTTGCCTTTCATGGAAACATGGCCGCGGTATGTGAGTTCGAATCTCTCGTCGTAGTTGTCTTCGCGCATCAGGTAACTGTAATAAAAATTGACAATATAAAATAAATATCCTCATGTTGACTATTGATTGCTATGAATATATTGTCAGGAGGGTTGTTCTTCTCCGTCGACAAATTATAATGAACATGCCTTATAGATAAGAATTGTGGCATTCTGAAAGAAAGAGAGGAAACGAAGTTTCGGTCTATCTTTATCTCTCTCAAAATAGTATCATAGTTAAGATGTTATGAGCGAGAAAGAGATAGCGCTAGACCGAAAGCATAGGCCATCTCTCTCACTCTTTTCAAACCAAAAAAATACTGCAGATTATACGCGTACGGCATGTCCATTAGTATATATCGATGTTCTTCTCCATTCGAATCTACATTTTGGAACGAGCACCTAGCTTTATTGACCGACAGACTGACAGACTAATTTTATTTGGTATTTGTTGACGTTTCAAAAGTACCAAATTATGGTTTCAAATTAATGCTTTGACTTTGACGTATGTCATCCTTTAAAGAAGAATTTTTGAGTTTGTCAATAATGCACAGGGCTTTTTTAAATTTTAGTTTTAGCTATAGCAAGCAACATAACATCACACCTTTTATCCCCGAAGGGGTTGGCAGAGGTGCACACAGAAGTAATACCCACTTTTCACTATTTATGTTATGAGTCCCATGTAATAGGGGGTGAGCCTATTGCTATACCGGGCACAATTCCAGACTCCGTGCTACTGCTGAGATTTTTTTAAACCCCAGTTTGGCTTTACTGGACCCGGGAATCGTACCCGAGACCTCTTGCCCGGCAGTTGCACTTGCGACCACTCGGCCAACGAGGCGGTCAGTCAGTGTTAGAAGTAGTGTTTTTATCCCATTGAATGTCAACTATGCAATATTGCGTAGGAGCATCACTAGCACCTACGCAATGTTGGCATGCAATGGGTTATGTTTGTCCTGTTATAACGGTGTTTCGCATATAGTCACCAGCGAACTTCATACTTCTGGATATAGGCCTTTCCAAACTGGCTGGTTTCGTTACTCCACCTCGCTGGATTGCAACCTGCACTACACAACATAGCCTAGACATAATTAAAACAATTGAATGTGCTCATGATTCCATAGAAGAATTCGTTTATTTCTTATTCAATCATCTTTAGTTCAGTATTAATTTAATTCAATTCCACAGCTAAACACGGCTTCATCATTTCTGTCACACACTTTAATCACCAATTCTTTAATAAAACTCTTGATCTAAGCTAAAATTCTCCACTAACATAACGACAGGCACACCTGTACAATAGGAAACAGCCTAACTAAGGCTTCCTAACAAATAAGAAGCTTACACTGCACTTACAAGTATTCTCTGTGACAATGAGGGGTAAAAACTGATTTTACTGCCATTGTACTCCGAACTGTACTCCAAGATACATCGAAATAAACAAATAAATAAAAACTATTTCTTAAAAACCATAAAATATCAAAATTAAAAATGAAATCAAAAGTCATAAAAATTATAGGATTAATGTGATTTTTTTGGATTTGTTTTCGTGTTTGTAAATTCTTTTTTTATTGTGTATAAAATGGATTCGTTCATGGAATATTATTTTGACGGAGTGTTCAGTAATTTGGATCGCGACTGTTTGAATGAGAGGTTCAAACGGCGGGAATTGGTCGAGTATTTCAATACTGTCATTGCTGGCTGTGCTAGAGGTTATTTTTAGTTTATTATTTTTAGATTTTGTTATTTTTGATTATGTTATCGGGGTGTAAAATGTTTAATTTGTTTCATAATAATAAGTATTTATTTATTTTATAATATTTTACAAGGTTATTATGATTAGTGTCTATTTATTTGTAATAAACCGTTTTCCATATTTTAATTTGTTTTAAACAAACCATTATTTATTTATATCAAAGTTATCATCATCTAAATTAAATTTTAAAACATCAGCATCATCATACTTGAGATTTGTTGTGTAACAATAATTTTCTCTAATCTCAAATTGTGAGTTTGCAAGCGTCTTCTACCTAATGTTCAAACTGATGCCTATACGAGTATAACTATAAAGTTTTAAACTTAACTTGTTCATCTTCTTTCAGGTCAGAATCACTCAGATAACACATCATGCAAGAACTTCGTGATATCAGCATTACGCTACCACAACAATTGTAAGGCAAAGAACGGAGATGTGTGCCTTATGGGGAAGTACCACAACCTTTTATACGTCGCCATGAAGCTGGCTTTTGATTGGAGCTTGCAGGACAATGGCGTGGTTGCCGCATTGTTAGATGAGCTGTACGCTTGCGAGAGGACTTTTGAAAGAATATTTTTGGGTATGTTTATAATTTTACTAGATTTTTGTTTATAGAAATATTTGTAAATGAATTGTGGCATGAATTTTGAATTGATAATGACTATAGCCTACTTTTATCACTTAGAAAATCTGGCAGTTTTTTTCTATTTTAAGTAATTAATATATACGAATTGTAATAATAATTAGTCTATGTGAAATTCTGTGTAAAATGTATACGTGATTGTGCTTGATTGTGTTTAAAGTAATATATAGGTAAATTGTAAATTTTCAGGTGCAATTTTCGGCACATCAGCCCCCTACTTCTTAGCTGGTTGGAAATCTGACTTCATGGACAAAGAAGAAAACGTTCACGCCCTAGTTTTCTTCCTAGACCATGCAACTAACGCTAACCTTGAATATGAAGAAAATGGAAAAACCTATCGGTTTATTGACGTGCCTTTGGAAAGTTGTGGACATGCTTCCCCAGTAAGGGTCGTCATACAAATGGGAGCATCAGAAATGCTGATGATACTTCTAAGATTTGGAGCCAGGATAACATCAGATGTGGTCTCAACTAATCCTATAGAATCCATCTTGGATCGACTCAATGAACATAACAGAAAGTATCCGTATGAACTAGTATCTTGTCTGAAATTGGCTATGAGAGCTGTTCCAACCATCACTTTGTCGGTAGATAAAGAAGTATTAAAGCACTTGGAACTGCCTGACGACTACAATTACCAAAGAAAATTGATGTTGGAGAAATATGGAGATATTTTGACTGATCACTTGGTACCAACTTCCAGATGTGGACTAAAACCAGTTGAGTTGAAGCATTTATCGAGGTGTAAGATCCGGCAAATCTTATGGAGCAACTTTGAACTCCCGTTCGGAATACAAAAGCTACCTATTCCAATATCTTTGAAACGATATTTAGATTTGTGTGAAGATTAAAATGTTTTATTTGATATACCTATTGCTTTTATTTTTGTGTACTATTTATTTTACTGTATCTAATACTTGAAAATCATAACTATGAAAGACGACTATTAAAAATGTCGTCTTTTCTTAGATTTTATATCAGTGAGGAATGAAATTAAAATCATCCAATAAATATGGGGCTTAGATGCCAATTGAAAATAGTAGAGTAGTACGTTAGTGAACTACTTAGTTATGTTCTAGTCCCGCATAACATTACACAAGCTGATTACTTTTAATTGAGGCTGAACGACTTTGTGCATTCATGGATGCATGGTGATTGATGCATTACTATTGGGTCAAACACCCAATAATACGTAGCTCAGTTAATCCCTAAACAAATATCAAAAAAGAAAAGATGATAAAGTAGTACTCAGTAGTAGCACGTAGTCTGGAATTGTGCCCGGTATATGGCAATAGGCTCACCCCCTATTACATGAGACTCATAACATAATTAGTGAAAAGTGGGTGTTACTTCTGTGTGCACCTCTGCCTACATCTTCGGGGATAAAAGGCGTGATGTTATGTTATGTATGTAAAAGATGATAAAGAATCATAAACATTTACCCGTAAGTATCCTCGCTGACGTTGATAGTGCCAGGTACTCCAGTGGTTTCGCAGCGGCTGGTCAAGTTGACAGTGTTACCGAAGAGGCAGTACCGGGGCATGCGATGGCCAATCACACCAGTCACTACTTCTCCGGTATGGATACCGATTGTGATGCCCTAGGAGATAAAAAAGGGTTTATAAAGTAACAAAGGTACTAAAAATATATGATATTATTCACCACGTACTAATACTATTTTCAAACCAATATGTTGTTTATTCACGTAATCGATACGAGGGCTGTCTTTTTCACTTCAGTCACTACAATTTACCAGTAATTAGGCATCCGGTGACCTATTTAAATTGATGTAGTTTTGTCTTTTAATTCTAGTCTCAATTATATACTTCACTTAGAGATGGAATCTGATATCTCAGTTGAACAATACTATAGAATGTATTGCAAAGAAAAATAAGTAGATACTAATATAATTATTATTATTCAACCCACAAACTAAATTGAACCCTGTTAAGCAGAAAAGATCCAGCCTACATTTTATTACTTTTGAGTAAATCAAGTTTAAAGTAATCATATGATATAGTATCTATTGAATAATAGGTATTCAATAAGTACTGTATCATATGATTTTTTTATTATCTCATCATCATCATCTTACAAATGCCCACTGCTGAGCAAAGCCTCTTCTCACATGGAGAAGGTTAGAGCATTAATCACCACGCTTGCTCAATGCGGGTTGGCGAATTCAAACTTATAATTAGAAATTATAAGCCCAGGTTTCCTCACGATGTTTTCCTTCACCGTTGGTCAGTAGTGTCTGAATAATCTTAGAAAGTACATATAACTCGGAGAAAGTCACATTGGTACTTCCCGTTGGTAGGTTTCGAACCCGCTCCCTCGTGCATGAGAAGCAGGCTTCTTCAACCTCCGGGCCACCACGACATCTATCATCATTTTTATTATCTGCCCAACATTAAACTTCCTTTACTAAAAAGTAATAAAATATGGGCTGAATCTTTTCTGCTTAACAGAGTTCTTATTCTTACAAGAAAATAGTTACTCACCACGGGTTCGCCATCAACAGTAACGGTTTGAGAGAGATCCATCATTTCCAAGGCGAGGAGGGAGATGTGCTTGGCATGACCAACTTCATATTCTGGCAAACCAGAGACTGCCATGTACTTATCACCAACTGTCTCCACCTGAAATTATCATTTCGTTTTGTAGCCTAATTGTGATGAAATTCAAAGTAAAAATCATTTATTTCAATTAGACCAGGAAGGTACTTTTGAACGTCAAAACAAAATATTTAAATATTAAATAATAAGAAAAAATGACAGTTTATGTTCATTTTTTAGTTAAATGCAATTCTTTACAAGTTATGATATGAGCTGCTGAAATAATGCTTGCACAAAAGAGCGCGGTAAATTAGCTTATTTCAAAAATCACACAATATAAATAACTGTTTATTGAAAGGTGATGATAGGACAAGTAACTTGTGGCACCTAAGGACGTTGAAAAAGAAAGCCGGCACTGTCTTTTGAAACAACGGCTGTGGCACCTGGCTACCATAGACTTACACGCAGAGCATACACACATTGATACGCAGGACATCTGTCCTTTTTTTAATTCTGATAACGTGGTTACTTATTACACACGCACACATATATAACGCACTGACTCACATTTTGGTGCTTCCATAATTTCTAAGTGACATTATAACCGCCTCTATTTCAACGTCTTACGCGACACCTATTGCATTATACGGCATTCAACTTCAATACAATTTTGATCAAAGTTATAATGTCAAGCAAGCCCTTCTTTTTTAACGAACTTTGACACACATAACATAACATCACGCCTTATTATCCCCGAAGGGTTAGGCAGAGGTGCACATTTCGGCACTTAATGCCACTGTACAATGGAACCCTCACTTTTCACTATTTATGTTATGAGTCCCATGTTATAGGTGAGCCTATTTCCATATACCGGGCACAGTTCCAGACTCCGTGCTACTACTGAGACCTTTAAAAACCCAGTAATACTTTGCCCGACCTGGGAATCGAACCCGAGACCTCTTGCCCGGCAGTCACACTTGCGACCACTCGGCCAACGAGGCAGTCAACGAACTTTGACAAACTTTCCAAATATTTAAATGAGCATCACCTTACCTTATATACATTAGGATTTCTCTTTGGATCAGTCAGTACATCAAACGCTGTATACAAATCGTTCAGCATCCTAACAATCTTCATAGCTCCCTTGTGGTCGGTGTGCCTGGCGCAATAGTTGGCGAACCCAACGATGCCACTGAAGAGTAAGGTGACGGTGTCGTAGCGACGAGCCGGTACTGGACGCTGGTGACGAAGCTCAGTGGCTACGCTGATTGGCAGGACTGAGTAGAGGAGCCTGAGAGATAGAAAGGGGATATAGGATAAGTTAATTCTTTACACAAATGATTACTACATGAATTGGAGAGATGTAGTACTAAACCGCCTTTTATCCCCGAAGGGATAGGCAGAGGTGTACATTATGCCACTGTAAGTATAACGTAACACCCACTTTTCACTATTTATGTTATGAGCCCCATGTAATAGGGAGTGAACCAATTGCCATATACCGGGCACATTTCCAGACTCCGTACTACTACTGAGATTTTTAAAAACTCAGTAATACTTTGCCCGACCCGGGAATCGAACCCGAGACCCCTAGCCCAGCAGTCGCACTTGCAACCACTCGGCCAACGAGGCAGTCGTTTTATAAATTTCATGAAACGTTTTATGAATTTGTGACATTAACAGACAACAGATTTTATGTTTAGAAGTTTAGATATACATAGAACCACAATTCTACTAAAAAAAATTCAAGCACCTGTCGGTCTTTTGTTTCTCAGAGTCCAGTTCTCGGAAGGTCTGCTGCAATTTATCAGTGAGCACTTCCAGGTTTTGCGTCAGCTTGTAGTCTGCCTCAAACTGCTCAGACATGAGGACCAAGTCCCGAGTGGCATCATGAAGAGGAATGTCGGAGATGCAGAGGCCACGCCTAAAATAATAGACCTTGTTATTGTTCTACCTCTAAATATGAAAGAAAGAAGAAAGAAAGAAATACCATTTATTTTGCTACGACACACAACAAGAATCTAGAAACCCAAAAAATAGCCTATGGTGCGTCGTAGCGCAAAAGGCTTATCAAGACTTAATTTATTTTAGAAAATGTACATATACAACACCACAGCTTACGCCATTAAGTTATACTGTTAATCTTATATAAATGATATTATTTAGGTACTTAAAAACAAACTAATTAGGTAATCAAATACAAGAAATAAAAATTAATACAATTCAGAAACAAAATTGACAAAAAACAAAAAAAACTATACATTTGATTAACAAATTTGGTTATAAGAGTAATTATTGTAACTTGACACAAACATTAACATTATAATCAGCTACGTATCATCCATCCTCTCACAAAATCTTAAACAATCACGACACACATCTATCCATCTCATTGCAAATAAATCACACTCTGGTGCTGACATCAGGAGAGAATTAAGCATGGTGCGTACTCAGACCAGCGGAGAAGGAATTATTCAATGATTTTGTTAAGAATAAGTTATTCAAGTTACCGAGTCAAGTCATCTAAGTTGGTCACACTAGGATAGCATTGGAACACCACAACGTCTGTTTCAGGAATATACAGCATTTGCCCCTGAAATGAAAAATTAATAGTTTTACTAAGGTCCAATTTGTACTATTTCATACAAAAAATGTTTTAAAAATCCAACCTGATGCATGATAATTATAATTCAAATCGTAGGCATATTTTTTAGGACACACATTTACCAGACATAACGTTTAACAAATATTCTGATGAATAATTTGGCAGTGAGTGTTCTGAAGCCACTGTAGATGTATCAGAAATCTTACATCTTATACTATTATATAAAGCGGAAGAGTTTGGTTTATTTGTTTGTTTGAAAGCGCTAATCTCCGTAACTACAAGTCTGATTTGCATAATTATTTTGTGTTAGATAGTCACGCTACGACCAATAGGATTTGAGCAGAGCGTGTGAAACCGCGCGGAAGTAGTTAGTATCTAATATACCCTGGTTTCGATGTTAAAGAAGAATGATACCTTCAAACGTAGAGAAGCAATATCCTCATCAGGAGCAGACACCATTTCCTCAGGCTTAGTCTTCAGCACGTACACCGTGTTTATGTGAGCGAGCACATTGGCGAATGTCATCTCCAAGTGAGGTCGCACCTGTAATACAACAACATAATAATTATTAAACTTCATTATTCATGTGATATCTATGCCGTGTGATGACGATAAAATTTATCAACGACCTTGCTGGTCCTGCAGTTGTCATAAATATTATCACGTGTCCCAGTTTTTTTTATTTATTTTTTTTTAGGGGGGAAAATCAGAGGCGAGAGGGAGTGTCAGACTCTTACTGACTAAAAACTACCCCGTTCCTTCTCCTGCACGTCGAGCCGGAGCTCCGGTTACCCGTTAGGTTCTCCGCGACTCCGAATCGGCATCAGCCCTATTGGGCCCCATCTGTGGTGGTCTGATGGCTCTTTGAGGCGCGCGCGGATCGCGACGCACCGTACGCTCGAGTCACGTGTCCCATAGGACTTGACATTGAAAAGAGACCGTAAAACAGCGCTAATTAGTATGTAGTCCCTTAGTCGGGGCTTATGAGAACCACGGAGTAATAAGCAGACAGTTACTACATCAATTCAAGTTCAAAATACGAAACGTACCGTGTCCAGTACATCAGTAATCTTGCACCCTGGACGAGTGACCCTCGGCATCAGACGGGAGACGGTGCGGCCAGCTTGGACGATGTTCAGCTCTCGGTCGAACATTAGGTGGAATGGAAATACACGGCAGAAGGTAGCCGGGCTCACTTTAGGCTCTGAAATTAAAAATATGTATCTATAGGCGTCAGATGTAACATAACCATCAATTTTGGATAAACCAGATACAATATGGAGCTCTGGAGGATAAAAATGTTTTATATTCGTAATATTAATTTTTTACTGTCCATCATTGCCTAACTATACTGATTTGAAAGGTAAGTCTGACTGAATTTTACGTACTTATCTTTGTAATTAATTTTGTATGTTAATTATTTTCTGTGGCGTACTTAGCACATTCACTAAACCATGTAATAGGGTAGTAGACACTGTGTGAAAATTAAAAATGTAATTAGTCCGTCAGTTAAATAGTGAAAAAATATTTAGACACATATTTTTTAATGTTGTCGTATAAGAAAACAATACTTAGATAAAACGGAGTTTAGTTTAGAAGTGGGAGGTCGTTACGTTACGCTACCCTATTAAATGTGTAAATCATGACGTCAAATTAGTATTTCTTACCAAGAGACAGAGTTTCGATTTCAGCCATCTCAGGAGCACAAACTCGTCCAGAAGTGGATGTCTCAGTAATCAGAAACTGGACGTGGTCGCATTCTTCTTTTGTCTTCAAGATCTCAACCTTCACTTCTGTGTCGTGAAGCTTGCTAGCTACGGTCTGAAATAAAATAAGATTTAAAGGAATTAATAGAACTAAACTTATTCTTTCCCAAAATTAGGGTGAAGATATATGTACCGTACACTATGATTATTTATGTTTTATTTGAATACAACATGATTGCAAACTTCAACACTATATTTACATATATTATAGCTTTTGAGAGACATATGAATATGAGCCTCTACCATGACTTGAAACTACTCGAGTTCCTTGTCAAATAATTACGTGTGTTAGCAGAAAAACATAATATACGTAATTAACTCCAACACTATTTCCTTTGGCTGTCGTGTAACGTGCCGCGGGTTCGATTCCCGAACGGACCAACTCTATGTGTGATCCACAAATTGTTGTTTTGGGTTTGAATATCAAGTGTATGTGAACCTGTATGTTTGTTAACATACCCACGATACAGAAAAAAATGTTAGTATGGGGCAACGTATAAAAAAACAGGTTTGTAACAAAACAACTCAAAAAGGGTCTTTTCGGTAAAATAATTATTTTGGTATAAGTACGCTTGTCATACAATAGCTTATATCCAGATATTTATAACAAAAGTATCTTTCTTACCTTCACAATCCCAATGACGATATGCTCCAATCCAGGCCGATCAGAGTAATAGTGAAGTACCAAAGCCCCGTCTTCCGGCCGCTCAGTGCATCGGAAAGATGGCGATCTCATGCCAGGGTACAGAGTACCCAGGTGGTCGTGTAGGCCATCCAGATTCTGGAAAAAACATATATAAACATCATTATGCTGATATTTTCCCAGAGGAACCACTAATAATGGTGGTTTTTAGACTTTCATTGTATTACTGGGTTTGTAAAAAAATCTCAGTAGTGGCACGGAATCTGGAATTGCGCCCGGTATATGGCAATAGGCTCACCCTTTATTATATGGGACTCATAATATTTTATAAATAGTGAAAAGTGGGTGTTACCTACATTATGGTATAATGTGCACGTCTGCCTGCCCCTTCGAGGATAAAAGGTTAGCTGTTATGTTATGTGTTCATTTAATGTGACGAAGATGAATCCAATGAATAAACACGTTAATATGATAAAACATCTAAAGGCTGTTAGGATAAAAAAGGTTGGCTCATAAACCCATACTTACAGGTTAAAGGTTTTTTAAAAATAACATATGTTTAGTTTGATTGATTTTAAATTGGAAGTAAACTAGCAGACAGATCACCTGATGGTAAGCTATCAGAGCCGCCCATGGACACCCGCAACACCAGAGGTGCGTTGCCGGCTTTTAAAAAGGAATACGCTCTTTTCTTGAAGGTTTGAATTGGTTTTCTTGAAAATGTTTTGATTTTAATTAACAAAATGAAAATATCAACATCATAATTATGCATTGAATTCGATTCATTGACTGGATTTTTGTGTTACATTGTTCTCACACAATTGAACCCACAAAAATAATGAACTAAGGAATTGTATTGTGAACCTGATGGAAAAACAGTGACCTATGGAGTATGGAGGTTGTTGCTCGTTCTACTCCATAGGAGTCTAAACCTTGGAATGAGCAAATAGCATTACTTTAAAATGTTTTGTTGACGTTCAAATGTGCTTTTTTGGTGTAATTGAAATAAATTATTTTGACTTTGACTTTGAAATTATAGAATTTATTCGTACTTACATGTGTCAGATCATTTCTACTTAAATAATAATCTAAAGAATAAGGACCTACACTGTGATGACAATAACAAACACAGTTGCGCCTCTAGCGGATTTGTTTGCAAACATTTATTGACTTATGTTTTATACGTCTGTATAACCTATGATAGGAAGAGTGGGTCAAAGAATATATTTTTTTATTAATTAATAGTTCATTTGCTAACACTAAAATTGAAAACTTGTTAATTTTAGAAATATTCCAACAAATCGTTTTAGTTCCACAGGTTACCCACAGATGGCACTGTTTGAAATTTTGAAATCGTCTAATTTCCCGAAAATATTTATTATGCAGTAAGAGGACTTGATAAGTTTTATCTTTTTCACTAACCGTTATTTGATTATCTGTGATTTTTAATGAAAATGAATTAAGTTTACCTGCAAGAAGTCCCTCGGTGTAGCACCAAGAACTTGCAAAATCTTGTCATATCCAGAATCTTGACAGAATTCGAAGAAGGTTTTACCAAAGAGTTCCAGAATCGCGTCAGCTGGGATTTCTGTAATTAATTAAATATTAATTACTGCCTCGTTGGCCGAATGGACGCAAGTGCGACTGCCAGGCAAGGGGTCTCGGGTTCGATTCCCGGGTCAGGTAAAGTATCACTGGGTTTTAAAAATCTCAGTAGTAGCACGGAGTCTGGAAATGTGCCCGGTATGTAGCAATAGGCTCACATTACATGGGACTAAATAATCATAACATAAATAGTGAAAAGTGGGTGTTACATTGTACAGTGGCATTAAGTGCCGTAATGTGCACCTCTGCCTACCCCTTCGGGGATAAAAAGGCGTGATGTCATATGGAAGTAAATATTTAATTCTTCAAGGTGAAGTTACGTTGAAGCATTGTTTGGCAATTAAAAGCATGGGCATCGTTGATTTTACCGTTAAAAAAATCAAAACATCATTTTGAACTCTCAATACCTATTTTACTTTTTATCATTTTCTTTAATTGTCAAAACAATCAACTGCTCTATTAATCATGAGTTCATGACATTGTCAACGTGAAAGATAACTTTAATTTAGAAAAACTTAAGTATTATTTTACTTACGCAGAACTTCAACGGCAGCAGTGATGAGATGGTAGGTGATTTCATCTTCATATATCTGGCGCACGAGGAAGCTGCCTTCCATCGCCACATCTGCCTTTTTCCTGCATAATAGGGACAGAGTTACTTACTTGCTGTTGGTAGGTTTCGAATCTTATTATCGGGCGTCTTATACGTCTTACGTTACGAATGTTAAGTATTGAATAAAATGAAAGCACAGGTCTTTACCCATATAACCCACTGTAGGACGGGTATAGTTGTAAATTTTTTGCAGCTATTAAACGATACAATAAAATAACTATATTCTAAAATAAATCAACTTGAACTACACTGAAAAATAAACTAATTTGGTAACCCATAAAATTCATTTTACAAAAGTACCTAATACCTGCTCTTTCTTAACAATGAATACAGTTCATGTTAAAATATAATAACTAGATTAAATAACTTAGCAATAAGGTTTGTTTTACAATAACATTTAAACAACTGTTTCGCAAGTTAAGGGCCAATTTTTCTTTTCTTTCTTCTTCCATAATAAAAACTGTTAACTGTCAATTTTATTATACAGTTAAGAATTAAACTGTTTAAAAAATGCCTATTTTTAATCATCATTGTATAGGGCCTCCTTTATCAAGTATATTAATGGGAAAATAATAAACACGACTTACTTTATGGTCTCCCATGTCTCTTCATTGAAGGTTTTGGTAACAAGCAGCTCTAGGGCGTAGTTCACAAACCCGTACTGAAAAAGGGATGGTTAGGTTGTAAATTATTTTATTAATGAAATTGACCTTAATTTTATTTCTACAATATTGTTGTACGTTGTACAAAAACTTACCATTTTGCGACTTTATTTTATTATTCTGTAACAAAAGAAATGTCATTAATCATTTTGTAAAATTAAACGTAATAGGTAGATATTTACTAAGTTAAAATTACTTAAGAAAAACTTTTCCAAAAAAAAATAATAGAATTTGAAAGTGTTGATTACTAAGAAATTTCATAAAAACTTCACTCAACTTTCACTCTAAAATCACGAAAATTCTTAAATCATCTATAAATATTTATAAATACAGTCATCCCAGACTATTGAAAATAAGCCTGTAAAAATTTTGCATTATCACAATATACCAATCATCTGTGAAGCACTAATAAATACCTAAAGACATTGTGAGATAATACAATTCGCTATTAATAGTGTATTCTATTATGCCTTCCGTCAAAGTAGCAAATGTGCTACTCGTTACTAGGTGGCAGCATAATGTATCGCTACTTACACTCGTCTATTGCTCAGTAGATGGCGCTATATTGCGCAGACACTGATAAACATGTCTCGGTTTCATATTATGTTATTGGATTTACAAGCATAAAAATTAATCATAAAAAATCACAAACACATTTTCAAAAGGGTCTGTGCTATCCAAAAAAAGAAATTGAAAATGAAATTACTTAGGTGATGACTGAAAAAATGTATGTCGATAATAAAATAAAAAAATTACAAGCTAAGAAAAATAAAAGGATGCATATAAAGTTATGTATATAAAATATATAGTAGAAGATTGTAGTTATCAACACAAAAAATAAATAGAAACATGAAAAGAAACTCGATATAAAAGAAATGAAAAACAGTTCAATTCTTTATTTGAAAAACAAAATCAGCAAATCACAATAAATCGTAAGGAAAGAATATCACATACCTTTTCAATCCCAAAAGTTGCCACAAATTCACAAATGTAACTAAGTCGGTCGTTTCGAAGCCATAAAAATTAAATACGTGCTGTTTGTTTTTGTTTTATTTCGACGTGACTTCCTCCCACATAACTGCACGCGCCAGCAGTCTGGCGGCAACTGACGTACGAACGCCATTGGCTGAACGACTGACGCGTAATTACATAAACTTTTAAGTTACACTAAAACAATTATAATATACCTAAAAAAACTACTCATATCTTGAATGAATTTTGTAATTATAATAAATGGAAGAATTTAAAGGATAAAAAGGAGAAAAGTTTAGATATTTTATAAGTCTCTCAGCGGCATTTTCCGGAACTATTAGTTTTGTCCTATTCGCCACTAGATGGCTGTAGTAGGAGCAACGAGCGTGATGGTTCTATTCTATAGCTGCAACCGTGATTCAGCGTCCATGACAAATATAATTGGATGTAATATACAAGCATTTGCTCGCGGCTGCGCCCACATGAAAATTAATATCCTAGTATCTCAAGGGAATCGTTATGATGAGAAATTAAAACGGGAATGTTCATGAATGTTTAATGTAGGACTGGCTATGTATACGCTTTGGCCATGAACCGCTAAATATAGGCGTGAAACTGAAAATGATTGATACCCCTTTTAGCTCGAATTGAGGTCATTTTAATTATATGGAAATGGGTCAATACAATACATGATTTCAGTAATGCGAAACATTTGCATAAAACAGCAAATACTTAGGTTCGTTATATAGAAAAGAAACGATTATATTGTAATGAAATGTCGATTTCCTTTAACAAAAAAACTAAAGTACTTATACCATAGCAAAAAACTTTTGTATAAGTCCACGAAAAAACGTAAAAATAAGTATCATTATTATTTTATCTCTTGACCTACTTACATAGGTACACTAACAAAATAAATTATATACCTACCAATAACCACAAAATTATGCAAGTCATTTAGAAAATTGTGGAAGAGAACCGCATGGTTAATTTATAGCCAGATGGACTAATCGGTCTTGGGGTTAAGCCGGAATAAATCTCCGAATCCCCTTTGTAGCGTGTAAAGCTCGGGTGCATCCTTGATGGATAGCTGTTACGGGTTACGTCTAACCGAGAATATTACGGTACTCGTAGTGGATTAGAGGAAAAGAAATACTGGTGTGATTTTCTTCTCAAGGTATATGTACATCGTGATTTGTATTATTGTAGTTTAATGTCAAAGTAATTTAGTTTCATGACATCTCAATATGATGTCGGAAAATATTGACATATTCAATAGGGTAGATGCTTAACTTTTATTTGTCTGTATTGTGTATGTCCCCTCAACTATTTTCTACACCTTTGTATATATACAGTAAAATAGTTGATAATAATGATAATAATATGTTCACTAACCCAAATGTTTTGTCCTTTCCTACTAACAACTAAAAACTACCACAAAGTTAATTTCGACGGTTCATTACCATTCGACACTGGCAGTATAGTCGACAACATCCTTTTGGAGATTCGTTTGCCAAAGAAGAGAAAAAAAGAACTTTTATTTTAATGTCCGTCTAGTAGATTATTTTAAATCATTAGATATGTATTTTTTATTTTCTTATAGTAACTAATACTTTCGATGACATATTGATCTGAAATGTCGCCTGACGTCACGTCTATGTACATTTTATACGTAGAAATGACGTTTTAGCCCGCTCTCCTAAACTTTGATTCATTTTATCTAAGTATTGTTTTAACAAATAAAAAAATACGTGTCTAATATTTTTTCATTACCTAACTTACTTATACCCTGTGATCATCCCAATCATACACTGAACGAATTCAGAAGAGCCTGTTACTTAGCTTAAGAAATATGCTTGTTACCATAATAATGAATGTTTGTAGTACCTAATTGTAATTTGTAACATAGATACTTTGTAATTTTATTCTATAAATATTGGCGTACGTTATTGCATTAGGTATTAGTTCCTGTAATGATAGTAGTATGTACATAGTTAATAAATAAATGAAATAAAAAATGTTTACTGTCGTTTTTCAGGCTAAACTCGACTATCAGCCGCGGAAGACAGGTTAACGGGTTGCCGGGGCTCGAAATGCAGGAGTAGGAACAGGGTCGTTTTTAGTCAGTAAGAGTGACAAATTTTAACGTCCAAAAGCACCTCGCCTTGATACTATTCTATTTATTTAATAAATTCTTATTTTCACATAGAAAAACCAACAACTGTCATACTCCAAGTCACCATACTTAAAACTACATATAACAGCGAACACAAAACACATAGACACATAGTGGACTTTAATTCGTAAATAGGGGCGTGAGACGTTAATCCATTTGTGTAATTAACCGCGCCTACACATTGTCAAATCAGTGGATCAAAGCTTCGCGTGTTTTGGCTTTCATACTAAGATAATACTTATTAGTTTATGTAATTAACGTTGTGTAATTGTGTGCTAATTTTGTGTGAATTTGTTGTGTGGAAAATAAAGGTGTTGTTTCGTTATTTGTTTGTAGAAATGCTTCTCCAGCGTAATGGGGTTTTAACTGTTCAAAGATTACGCAGTTCAAAAACTTTTTGTTTCGTATAGACACTTATTTTTTTATGACGGGGTAACCTTCAAAAGGCGCCCAGCTTTACGGTGATAAAAACCTAGACAAGAAAAAAAATAGATAGTGTAGGATTTTTACCCCACTAAAACTACCCTGAGCATCTGTAAGGAGCAAGAAAAATTATGGAAACCCTAGAAACAGAAAGAAGTTGCTTGAAACTATTGAGGTTTTGAGTGAGATTTTCAATTTTCAGTAAGTTTTTTCAGTTTTTCAATACCAATTACGTATTTATAACACTAAGCGTCGGTTTCACCTATGTAAGTACCCGATAAACTTATGTGACAGATAGTTCATATAAATTACGTTCTTAATTCGAATTTATCTAAACCTCATGATTTAACTATACGACAACTGTATTACAACATATAACCCAATGTTGCCCTTACACAGAAAATTAAAAAAAAAAAACAAAAAAATTTATCGCTTTTCGCGCACCACTAAAGGCTGACAAAAGCAAATTGCTGAACATAGATCATAATCTCAGACTGAAATCAGTTTCAGACATGAATCTAAGTAAATTAGTTTTTTCCGCCTTCCGTTTCCCCCTAAGCAGTTTTATGTCAGTCATTCTGCTTTTTTTATCTTTTGACTGTGTTGCCCTACTTTCTGTTTAGTCTGTGGCCATGTTACACATTTTACGTTCGCTTTAAGTGTAAAGTTTTGCACCTTTTTTATATTTTCGTGGCAAGTTGTGACGGCGATTGTTACTTGGGATTTGACTATGTATACGAGTAACCGCTATTGTTGTTTTTTTATGAATTTCGAGTTGAAAAGTGTCTTGTTTTTTTGTAATCTTTTTTTGATATGTAATAAAATTATAGGTATGATTTTAATGTAAATTTCTAACTTTTTAATGAGTAACTGTGGGATGAAGTGTGAAAAAAAACATATTATTTGACACTTTCGGTAAAATTAAATTATTGTGATTATTAAAGTTCAAACTTGCAATACATTTTTGAACATTATCGTGGGGATTTCTCAATGACACGATTCCCTTTAAACCTTCAAATAAATAGTGTACTCCTTTTTAAAAGGCACCTGTGACTCCTCTGGTGTTGCGAGCGTCCATGAGCAGCGCTGATCGCTTACCATCAGGTGATCCGTTTACTCGTTCGCCTCCTATTCCATGACAGGCCGAAGAAATATTCAATTTTCGCTTGAAGCCTAAAATCTAGATTTATGTATAGTACCACAGCAGTAGGCTCTATTTACGAATACTAAAAATAAGTACCTTCTACAAAGTTATGCCTCTTCGAAGGAAAACCATAAGCCTATGTTTTATAGTCAGCCATTTTGCTTCTAGACAAAGAAGCAATTGTATTTAACGATCTATGGTTAATTACATACTTGAACATAGCCTAATGGAACACTTAGAAAGACTTCAACTTTGTACATAAAACGAATGACCATACCGTATTACCATATACATAATTATGACGATCTATGTATAAAAAAATCTTTTGTCACTTTGTAGGGAAGTAGACCATTACCATCTTTATACATATATATAATTCTGCTGTACGTGTGTATGTCATTGAACTCCTCCTAAACGGCTTAACCGATTTAAATGACTTTTTCTGTACGTGTTTGAGTGGTGCCCTGGATGGTTTAGATTCACAAATCAGCCCGGCAGATGGCGCTGCAGCCGTAGTCTAGGTTAATTATCCTAAACGGCAGAACTAATTTAATTGAATTTTTGTTTATACATTCAATTGGATATGCAGTACAACGTCTGTCGGGTCCGCTAGTATTACCATATGACCATCAATCTAAAAGAGTCTTTCGTTGCTTTGTAGTGAAGTAATACACATAGTCAAAGGTGATCTCAAAATCAAGTCAAGTGGTTAGCTGAGAAAAAAGTATTGTCAAAAAGACTTGTAGCACATAACACAGTCGCGGAGAACCTAACGGGTAACCGGGGCTCTGACTCGACGTGCAGGAGAAGGAACGGGGTGGTTTTTAGTCAGTAAGAGTCTGACACTCCCTCCTGCCTCACCCAGGCGGGAGCAGTCATTCGATGATTTTCCCCCCTTAAGAAAAGCACTTAACACACAAATCCTTAAAATATATTATACACCGTGAAATCTATTTCTTTTTCGTCCCTCGGCAAAAAAACTTACCATGAGTACTTTCAATGTATAAAGTAAAACAAGAAAATTAAAATGTTATTTTATTTAGTTTAAAATAAATTTTTCATGGAAATACGCACATGAAACACTAGACGAAAATTTGTAGGCACTTTTAGTATCGCACGTGCCACCCGACGAGAAATCTCTCTTCGAGAATTACATGGTGTGGTGTTTTGATAGTGTAGGTACTGTTAGTTACTATGGGCTTTCGAAATTTACTTTTGGCAATGGTTCACCAGTTATTTTTTGTTTCCATGTAAAATTATTATATTCCCAAGACACAACTATTTTACTTCGGGAATAAAACTAAAAGGACCTATGCTAAAAGCTGAGAGCGGACACAGTTGGTGATGGCTTTAAAAATACTTCATTACGTTGTTCTTTGAAAGGGCCGAAAACGTAAT